TCAGTCCTGTATTTTCATTGGGGATCAACTTCGTTGGAACTCAAACACGTACAACGGACAGCCCGAAATGCAATGGTCCACCACCTAAGGCGCCGATGTGAAATCCCATTGTTACAAGAATGCATCTATAGATTTGCACATACACACACTCATACACACATACTTAAACAGGCATGGAGACTAATATGGTTATGAGGAGAGGACGAGTTTTACATGTGCCAAATGCTCACCGTCTCGGCAATAGGGCCCGCCATACGCAGTTCTTGAACAATCGCAGTGGAACCGGTTGGGTCCGAGTACAGAACATACGCCGTTGTTCGAGCAGTAGCCGGGCGGACAGGCAATCGGCTCCTGGCAGACGTGACCACGAAAGCCAGTCCCGGTGCAATTGCAGACGTACTGACCGCCAAGAACACTGCAACGACCTCCATGTTGACAGAAGCCGGGGGTACAGATACGCGGAGTCTCGCATCTGGATCCTTCGAAGTCGGTGTGTCCACATGAACAGACAGGACGGCCATCCATCATGGCACAGAGTCCTCCATGGAAGCAATAGTTGGGCGGACATGCGCGGGGTACAGCACATCGTTCACCCTCAAAGTCGGCCGGGCACTGGCAACGAGGTCGACGGTCCGACTCGGGAAAGCAGTTGCCATTGTTGAGGCAGTAGGCCGGTGGGCAGACGGGCTGTTCACAACGCGCCCCCTTGTAACTGGGGTAACAGTCGCAGGTGGGCTGGCGTTGGCGCACCAGACAGCGTCCTCTGCCGGCACCACAAAAGTCGGGCGGGCAGACTGGCACTTCACAACGAGGCCCGTCAAAGTTGGTCAGACTGAAAGAGTAGTCAAAGGTAGGTTATCTATACTGGTTACTACGGGCTGATTTCCAAGACTAAATTTGTTAGTCGTTCAAACTCTTTAGTTAAATGCTTGCTATCCGCTAGCCCCATACTTCTACGTACGTAAGCATTGACATCTAAATTCCAACCTTAGTCTTGTAACTATGGTTGGAAAGAAAATTAAACAATGAACCAACATATGTTAGCTTCCTGTAAGCATATCTTCCTAACTTACCCTCTTTTCTAATGATGAGAACATCCAGAAAAAACTTATTCTCTTCCATTTCCATCGTGAACATAATGTTCCTTTCACGCTGGTTGAGCGAAAGTAGGAAAC